GTTGCTAAAAAATTGTATGTTCAAGCTCCCAGGACAACATAATAAATGTCGCTAACTGCTCCGAAGCAAGGTTCTTTTGCTCCAAAATTGAAATTTTGCGGCTCCAAGAACTGCTCCCAATTTAGACTCTATCGTCTTATCCCTGTGTTCGTGTACATTGCAAGAGTAGTTTTCGGCCCGGGTCTCGTGTGTGACAGTTTCTCCTTTTTCCCGGCTTGCGCTTCAGGCGCCGGACCTCGCGTCTCTGTGTGTCGGCTCCGACGCACGATACAACACTTTCATCTTCGAGTCTCCTTAGGCGAATGCATGATGGAGTACAACGAGGTTTTGAGTGTACAGCCAAATTGCTCTGGCCTTATATAGTTTTGCTGCAAAAAAGAAAATGGTTTGTTAAACGATGTGGTCTGCCTCTGAATATGCACTGTGGGGTCTTGGTGTGGGGGAGCGCCGCCTTGCTCTTGGAGTGAACAGACACAGCAGACGCGGTTGGACCAAACCAAACACACACATTTAACTGCTTTTGATCGATCATATCATCAACCGAATTATTATAACATCAATCGTGATCAACACGCTGCGACATCCTTTCACAATATTGAACATCGCTCAACAGCATAACAAACACAAGGCGGCATCGCTAACGCGTGACCCACCACAGTGGCCCCCGGCAGACTGCCTGCCCGCAGTGCTGTGCGCCGGGGGGACACCACAAGAGACTACTGTTCGCGCCAAACGCCACCAGAGAAAGAGCCCAGCTTATTTCTTGCGCGCTGCCACCAAGGCTTCTTGCAAGGCGTCGCCGCCGGCACTAACATTTTCTATGATGATGATGATGATAAATGCTAACGTGCACAACGCCACCTACCACCTGGTAGGTGTAACCCGAAATGCGGCTTTTGCACGAGACACTTGCACTATACAGCGTAAGCAACTTTACAGGGGTGTCAGCACCCACCACAACTGACACTTTAGCGGAATCTCGATTGATGCGTACCTCTATAAACAAGCAACCCTGCGCATGCGCAAGTGATAGTCAGAAAGCACTAGTGATAGTGAAAGCACTAAAGTGATAGTCTGTAAGAATGCTGTTGCTCCAGAACAAAAAGGAAGGTCGGAGGAGCTTTGTGCTTGATTAAGCCATCCAAGTGACATCATGTTACAATATGATTGATTGAAAGAAAAATAGCCTCTCTTACTCCTTGGAGTTATTTTAGAGAAATTCATTTGGGAAAGTGTAAGTCTGTAGCTTTCAAGCATGGTTGTACATACGTCACAGCGTTTGTCTACCATGTCTGCTGATAACTACAAAGGTGGATTTAGCATATTTTATATAGTAAAATGTTATTGAACCAGTAATCTGTTAATTTGTATGAAAATAATACTGAACAAGTGTTCCTGAAAACTCGAATGCATGATGACATTATCTTTGCATCATGGAGTAAATAGGAGATGCTCCTCAGATAACTGGCTGCATAAAATTCGAAATGAGTCAAAATATATGTAGCAGCACTTAACAAAAGCCCCACACTAATTATTCATGTGGTTGAATGTAAATGCAACTTGCTTCTCTAGTGTACTTTAGGAGGTGAAGTCATCTGCTCCAGAATGCTCCCAGATGCAAAATTACCTGCTCCAGTGTGCTCCAAAACAGAAAGTTCTGCCGCTGCAAAGTGCTTAAAAATGGAAAATTTTCTGCTTCAAAGTGTTCCAAACTGAAAATTTCGCTGCTTCAAAAATTGCTCCAAATCAAAAGACCTCAGCAGCATCACTGCTTTTGTTGGGATGAAAGAAGAGAGAATGCAATTGCAGCAGGCAACAAATCTTTGTAACTGCTCGTGCTAGACAGATTTTTAAAAAGTTCTTACGGGGTTGAAATTGTCAGGCAATAAGCTCTTTTGGTGAATTCATTCGATGGTGACTAGAAAAAGTGTTGTAGGGCCCCTTTATGATTGCTTCTAGATATATGCCTCCGTACTGGGCATAACCTAGGGCCATTATTTGAAAAAGCTGGACATACACGGCGTAGCATCAGCAAGTCAACGAGCCATCATCTAGATCTGTATATTTATGCTTTCAACCTGTCCAAACTTTTCATGGAGAACATGCAGCTTGAAGATCTTGTCCCTTCGCTTGTGGCACCCGCAATTCAGTTGTAGAGCATAGAGAGGACTGTCATGAGCAAGAAAGTGCGAGGCTTGTGCCGGGTGCTAGAATGTGGCACAGGGCTTCAAGACCCCAATGCTGCGCAGACGCGCCACGTTCACGTACGAGATTAGTCAGAGAAAAGCTCGTGGCACGCGACTTGAGCTGTGATGGAAAATCACGGAAGATGAGCTGGCACTGTGCTGCGAGGCTCCGAGCTGCGAAGACGTGGTAAATCAGCGTCACTACGGTGATGGAAGCAAAACAGCCTAGTTCTGAAGGATATCGGCGTGAGAGGTCCGGGAAGTGGCTGTCGTCTTTCGAGGTCCTCCCGAGTGAGGCAACCCAGACTTGCCGCACCCTTGTCCAGCAGTTTCTGGTGAACTTGTAGCTATCTCACTTTGTGCCGGGACGGAAGCAGCCCACATCAGTCAGCAGTTGGACCCGTCAGCAATGAGGCCATGCAGAAGTTAGGTGTAACCAAGCGGGCCGAGGATGACGGATAAAACCGTTTTTCAGGACGACTTGGACGATGGTACCACTTCGTCATAGCTCCGAAAGTGGCATCGGAACAGTAAGAGGGTTCTACTACTGTGAGAGCGCATGAGAGTAGCCACCAAGACACCGTCATGGTGAGGGAGAGATTAAGGCTTAGGAGTGAACTTGACTTGGAACAATGTTAGTCACGATATCGCTGTATGGCCGATTATTGTGTACATACATGTTTCTCTTTGGGAGTGAATCCTCAGTGTCGGATTACTGTTTGCCATTTTGTTTAATACAGTAAAACTTGCTTATAACGAACCTCCATATAACGAATTTCTTGGTATAATGAAGTTTTTCAATTCCCCGCCGTGGCTCCATAGAAGCACATGTATTCACGACCTTCATGTAACAAAGTAACAGCGGGAGACAACCTTAATATAACGGATTTTCCCCACGGACAATCTGGAAATTTCGCTCCACACTTTGGCACGAGCGTGCACCTTCCGCAGCTGCCCTGCAGTCGACAAAGCGCGAAGTGGCGGCAGCGCGCACGGTGCCCAAGGCGAGAGCGAGCGCTTGTTATTACACGGGGGTGTGCGCCTCGCGTGAGGCAGGCGGCGGGCCTGCACTTCACGAGCCAGTGTGGCCGCCGTTTTCGCCGCCGCAGGCGCATGCACTGGTGTGCCCCCCCCCCCCTAACTTTAAACCAAAATCAAAACAAGAAAAAGAAAACTACTTTTGCACGTTGGCAGTGCTATGCTTTTAGTTAACAGGCCGCGTTGCCTACGGAGGGCGCTTTACCAAATAGTTTTCTGTGGTATCCGTGTCTGTGTCCGTATCATTCGCTTTTCGTTTTCGACGTCGCGCACGTGCAGTTTCATAACATACTACACATACGAAACATACTAACATACGACATACGAAACATACTAACATACGAAACATACTACACACAGTGCAGTATGTTTCGATCTGCTTGCCGTTTTCAGCATTAGATTCCAAGTTGTTGCTATCGCATTCAGGGCTTAGCGCTTGCGGCGAAACTGTGACTTTTCTTAATTTTGGACAACCATGTCCTCACCACCGCGAGATGTCAGATTAGGCGCTTATGGAAACTATGTGACCACGGTGACGACAGATCTTCGGAGGTCGGCTCGTAACGTGCTTCCGTCCTGCGCCACGCCGCAATTTCGCAGTTTGGCAGCTTTCGCAATTAGCCGTAAAGTTCTGGTAACAGGACTGCGCGTTGAATGCAATGCTATGAAAGCGATAGCTAAAAATTTTAATGTTATAAGAAGTAAGGCTGGCAGCCAACTCTTTTGGATCCGATATCGCGGAACTCGTACAAAACGCTGGTGTGGGCAAATACGGCCGGTCCTGGGGAAAGTGCTCATTCAAGATGGGTGGTTTACTTTCTGTTTGAGCATTCGATTAACACGCGGGAGATGTTATCTTATGCAGTTTTCCGGCGATATGGAATGTGCCGACTCTTTTGATCTCTGCTTCAGCAGCGCTCGCCCGCTTTTATTCGCTCGTGAAAGTTACGATGCGTGGGGGCATGTTACACAGAACATGGCGGGGACGGCGAAAACCCGCTGACAGTGTCCATACAATTGCTGTCGCCATAATAACGCAGTTTTTCACTGTAAAATAAGTGTTTTTGGTTAGCTCTGTCTTCAGTCCCCTTTTTGTTTATTTGTACGTTTATTTTTCAAATTTTTGGGCCGAACCTGCATAAAACAAAATCCTCTATATAATGAATTTTTCCTGGAATTGATCAATTTCGTTATATCCAGTTTTAACTGTATTTAAATGGGTTTGCCGTGTAACTGTTGACTCTCATCTCTCTCCCAACTCCATCCGCTGCAAGCGCTTCGAGGTAAATTCGTGACAAAGACATGACGCAGCTACGTTCAACAAAGAAGGCAACTTTTTTTTCTAGAGTGTTCGTAATACAGCAGCATATCACAAATTGCACTTCACAAGAGAACAAATGTGTCATGCACAGCTCAATTTTACATGAAATCATCCTGTGTGAACTCCCTACAAAATGTGCTTTGTTGCCGTTATGTGATGGTGATAGGAACCTGAGAGCCACTCACTGGTTTTCAAGCTCTCAGTTTCACTAAGACTTCCTCTCTTTCTTCTTTTTTGTTTTGTTTTTCTCCTATAATACTGTGATGACATCTAAGGCATGTTCCATGCAGGAAAGAGAGATCTTGTGGCAATACTTTGCTTAAAAAGTTGCATTTTAAGTTGACAAAGTATACATAAGAGAGTTGATAGCTTGTTTGTACCATCTATGTTTAGGTATTGGGCAAGTGTGTATGCACAATGACATCTCATATCATATCTGGAATCTTTCTGCACAGAGGTGCTAGACTCTGACGAGGACGAAATTGACGACGAGGGTCAGGAGTACTTGGCGAGACTGGCTCGCCGTGCCAAGAAAGGATCACCATTCCCGGTAACCTCGGCGACCATTGAAGATGACCCAGATGAAGACGATGATGACGAAGACGAGGAAGATGAAGAAGAAGAAACGGCACTCGAATCGTACACAACACCTCTCGACGACGATGAGTGCCCTATCGATGAGTACCAGGTCTTCAAGGAAGTCATGCAAGGTAAGCCTACAGTTGACAACCTTTCTTATTTTTAGTGCTTATCATTCTTTTTTTTTTTTTTTCAAAATAAGACCTACAAAGCTTTAGTGAACGTTTTAAAGGCTAACTCTGGCATTTTTTTTTACCATGTCAGGATAATGGTGCTTTTATGTTCCTAAGACACTTTTTGTCACTCGCCCGATAGCTGAAATGCTGAACAAATGCAAATATATATATTAATTACCGAAAAACTGTAATCTCGAAACCAAAACCCAACAAAGTGCGCTTCTACGTGTGACATAATCATTTGCCCGAACTTGCCTGATTGCGCATAGTGCCTGCCAGACGGCACTACCTGTCCACGCCGTTTGCCGCAATCGGCTGAAACGCTTATGCTGTTTAGGTGAATATACGTCGAATCGTTTCTCGCTCACAAAGCAAGAGCACTTGGCTCCTATCGCATGCCCACCAACATGGAAAAGGAAATCGCACTTTCAACCACGGAAGCACTGGCTAAATCCACACAGTCCATAGCAGACAAGCAGACGCTGCAGTGGCACATCAGTTCAATCACTTCCGCCAAGAAAAACTCAATGTCACACGCATAATGTTGCCATTACTTTCGACTCTCGTTAATTCATACTTGAAGGGACCTCTGAATTTTGCTTTAGTTATCAAGAATTTTGAATTATCAGAAGTGCTCATATACATGACTTCAAGTGAGATGACACCACACGTTATGATTGGGCATTGCTTTTGTCACAATCAAAAAATTTTAAGTGTTTTAAGCCCTAGCTGCACGAAGTGAACACAAAGTAGAAGCGTAAAGTACACAAGCTTATTGGCCGTTTACTGCTGATCAAACATTTGTTATAGGCATGTGCCTTCAGCATAAAGCTCTCTAAACTACTGAGAAACATCACATTTTACCATGCATGTGCTTTGTTTCAAACATTTGTTTACTTGCAAAGCCCTTTTTCTTGAAGGCCTCTAGTGCTTATTTTATTTTTAGACTGTTAGGATTATATAAGCACATAAATTTTTAAATAGTAGGGAGAAAGCAGCTGATATTTCCTGGTTTGAACCTCGAAAAGGTATGAATTAACTAGGTGATCGAGTTTGAGTTAAAAAGTTTGAATTAAGAAGTTTGAATTAAGAAGCCTAGTGCAGAGGTGGAAGAGCTGTGCCATTTGTGCCATTCTGCGCCAATCTGACCTGCTGTGCCAAGTGGTGCCTAAACGGTCATTCGCATGTGCAATGCCCAATTTTATCGAGTTTTATAATCAACCGAACAACATGCGTGGCCTACACAAAGGGCGCAGCCGCGTCCCTATCAAATTAGTTCGGTGACGTCGTTTTTCGGCTCATGCATGAATTTTGTTAAGGTGGCGTTTGTGTGTATACCTCATTATGCGACTCAATATATGTTTTAACAGCAAAGCTTTTAGCCAAACCATATTAACTGAAGAAAAAAAATAAGTCAGTTTCACCGGTGAAGTGATGACGACAATAGCAAAAAATTTGTAATGGTAATGGTAATGCAGCATGCGCTTTCTAGTTTTGCTACTGCACCTTTACGCATGTAACCCTGCTTTGTGCAATCCGCTCCAGAGTGACTGGGAACAATCTAGATAATCTTAAAACCTTCCGAGGAGATTAAGCGCACAATGCGTACATTAGAGTTTGTTCTGGTACTTACCCAGCCACTAGCGATAACGCGGGAATCTTCTTTGGCACATTTATAAATGCTGACGCACTTTGCTGCTTGTTAGATTATCGATGGCTGACGCTCTGGTTTGCAGCTATCGGTCTACAGCTTGTATTGCTTGTAGAGTGACGTTTTGTTTTCCGGGCACAGGTTCCCCCGAATAAGGTTCACTTATGAAAACAGCGGCTGCTGCCTTCATCAACCTTATGACCATGTGGCGATACGAAGTTTGGAAGCTAATGCTTTTGAATTCGACATCGCGACACTCTGCAAAATGCTGCAAAAATATCGAAAAAGATCATTTTTCTTTTTGCATAACTTGAAATTTGCGGCTTTTTTCTGAACCAGGATCACTCGTTTGTTTGTCTCGTTGCGGTTTTTTTTTTCCCTCTAAAAAATGGCAGATTTCAAAACTTGTGCGGTGGAATTCCGTGCCCTCATTATTACGTAGCAAGGCATCTCTTGAAGTTCAAGCATAATAGCCATATAGAGAAGTTACAGTTTGCAAGCTGGAGTGCATTTGGCACATTCAGAAAGGAATGGGTCCGGAATTGTGGAAGTGAAAGAAAGCAGAAGCACTCAAGCTTTCTGTCGGGAAATCTATATTCTATTATGCCCCTGGTGCATTTTCATAAGATTTTATTAGTATTTTTTCAATAAAGGTATTCTGAAACGTTTTTCCTCATTTTCTCAAAACATCAATTTTGGCACATTTCCCAAGTTGGAGGGAAAAATAACTTCTGTTCTATTCGAACTGTCAGCATAATTCTTTTTTTTTTTTTTTGCCAGAAAGATGAATGCATGCAGTATCGAATATGCTTATTTTGGAGGCAATATACAGATCAAAAAATTTTTAATTGGGTCGCATGCGTGACAGGTGAAAGTGGCTTTCATTTTTCTCTGAACATAAATGTCCTCTAAATCTTGTTGAAATTGGCCCAGCAAATTGATTTACTCTTGCACTCTTTAAACAACCTACATTGTTTCTACACTGTCACCAATGTTTTGGTGCTTCCTGCCCCACCTTGGTGGTCTAGTGACTAAAATACTCGGCTGCTGACCCACAGGTCGCGAAATCGAATCCCGGCTGCGGCGGCTGCATTTCCGATGGAGGCAGAAATGTTTTAGGCCCGTGTGCTCAGATTTAGGTGCACGTTAACCCCAGGTGGTCGAAATTTCCGGAGCCCTCCCCTGCGGCGTCTCATAATCATATGGTGGTTTTGGGATGTTAAACCCCACATATCAATCAATCAACTTGAAAGCAGCCCCATAACGTAACAAGATTACCGACACAACATACAAAACGTGCCGCAACGTACACTTGTCGCCTTAGCTTGGCTTGGATTGGATTGCATCTCTGTGCAATAATAGTATGCATGATATGGTGCTTCTTGCTTAGTTGCTAATTAGGCATCAAATGAAGGACCCAGGTTTTACATTGATTGTGGAGTATCTTGGAAACTACTTGACCGATCAAAAAAGTAATTACATTTTTAGAATCTGCACATCTAAACACACAAACTGTGAAAATTTAGTTTATATCTATACATAAAAAAGTTGCCCATCAAGTGTAGCCTCCCCGCTTAAAGCCTTGTTTTAGTTCAACTGCTGTGATGCTGGTTCCCATGTCTGAGGTATGGCCTGACTTCTTTCAAGCTGCTACTCATCGCTCTTTTAGCAAATGAATTAATTCTTGCACTGCAGCCATAGTAGTACAGAAGTCATGGGAATATATTTGTGCACTCATCTTTTTTGCACACTAAGGTGAAACTTGTAGCTTCGCTCAGTAAGTAAGAATGCGTTGATCTAATTATTGTTTTCTTTATGCCCTCAATAATTTGACATTCAGTTTATTCAGATATTTGTCTTGGTTCAATAGAAGTCTACTTGATGATGTTTTACAGGTGTTGCTTCTTGGATGCAGCGAGGTGCATGTGTTTGACTGTATAGACTTCATGTAGTGCGTAAAGAGAGTTGAATGTACTTGGACTCCTTTGGTGCAGGCCTTCAGAGTGCAGACCCAATGTGGTTCAGTGCCCTGACCTCAGGTTTATCTGCTGAACAGCACAAGTCCCTACAGGAAGTGTATGTGCTCGCTGACCAGAGGAAGGCAGCCGCAGGTATGTGTTAGTTCGGTACTCCTGCTGGTCATTACGAACTGCCGAAGGCGTTGTTTGGAAGAGACTGGAGACCATGTTCCATGATATACTAGTGGAACCATGCTGATTTCTCGAGGCTGATAAAAAACAAAGTTTGAGCCAGTAAGCACTAAAGGAAGTTTAGTTAGAGTAGCGGTAGTCTAAACAGAATTTCACTTAATTTGTCGCACGAGTTAAAAGTTAGACTTGTTCATAGATCATCACGGGCAGCTAGTTGCAGGACGAGCTCGACACACTCCTCTCTCTTCTCTGTGCCTTCTGTCCTCGCGTCAAGTTTGCGTTGCAGCTACTTGCTTTAGTAGTTACAATTGAAAAACTGTGCAGCATTGACTGGTGGATTGGCTGGCACCTGAGCAGCATAGTATTTCCAAGTGCTGTCAGTGCCATATGTTAATAAATGTACAGTAAACTCTCAGTAAACAGAACCTGAAGGGACCAGGAAGGTATGTTCCATTTAACAGGAGTTCCGTTTACTGAGAGAAGAAAGTAAGTACAGAATACTAGCCCGAAACCAAGCATAACAGAGGAAATAGTTATCCGTTTAAGCAGTCGTTCTCTTTAACAGATTTCCATTTACTCAAGAGTCTACTGTAGTCATACTATGGCTAATGAGAACATTGCCTCCCACCACATCATCTGTCAGGTGATCATATAGTGTGTTAATTGATGCCTTTATCCATATTTACTCATTTCCAATGCTACCTGTATACATATTGCTGGGTGCGTACAGATCATTGAAAACCTTGAAAACACTTTGAAAAATGCATTTTCAAGGCCCTTGAAAGTCCTGAAATTTTTTCTTGTCCTTGAAAATCTATGTATTTTCTTAACCAATTCCTATCGACAATGCAGCCTCTTTTATGTGGTAGATTGGCATACCTGCCAAGTCTCCTGGATTTCGACTACTTCTTATGTTTGTACGGTTGTCAGGAAAATTACTCGGAAATCGAAATTTCTGTGCGTGATCTGGCTGCATTGACAAAAATGCAGCCCAATGCTATCTAGGTTTTTTACAAACCCATCGCATTTTATTGTAACCGAATTTAGAAGACGTTCATCTAAACGCCCGTTGGGCCGAGATTCGGAAGCTCCGAGCCCTTTTCCTCATTGCGGCGGGTCGTATAAACTTTATGGCCGAAACCGTGGAACAAAAATCAAAAGCAGCAGGCTTGAAGCTTCGGAAGGACGCGCACTGCCAGCGCATGCTCTGTCAGAACTGCGGTTATCGTTTGCCACAACCGCTGTGGGCGAAACCGTATTCACTCTTGACACGATCATGTGTGGCGACTACGTAACTGACAGAACTCCGAAAATGTATGCACGCTCAGCACTCGACCAGTAAAAGCAACGTTGCTTTCCACAAGCACTGCGGACAAATCGCGGCTGATGCGATCATAGCAAAAAACATGGCTTCGAAGGCATGTGCCCGGCCACCGCACGTGGGTTGAAAATGAAACTACCGTTTTCTGCAACTCCCGCTTGCGAAACCGTCTTTGTGGCGACGTGATTACTAGACGAAGGCACGCGGCTGACGCAGCGGTAGGGGCGATAAAATGAAGCTTTAAAATAGCGTATCACAAGCCCCTGCGGTGCGCTCGCTGGCACTACGCATGCATCGTAACGCGAGCCGCCGTTTGTGCTCGCGGTCCACCCGCAGAAAATACGAAATGCGAGCCACAATGCAATGAGTGAGCTTGCGGCAGCGTTTGCAGGGGCAAACGCTGTTCTAAAGCTCATTTGGCGGCCATATGCAAACGCTATACCCGCAACGCCTGCTAACGGAAATGGGGAGCATTATAATAGTGTTAGCAGATGTTGCGGGCGTAGCGGCCGCCATATGAGTTTTAGAATAGCGTTCGCCCTCCCCGCAAACCTAAATGCACAAGCGCAGCTACACCATAGCCTTCAAACCAGTGCTTTGCAGGCCGCACATTATTACGGATTTCCTGCGGGCGGACCACAAGCGTGAACAGCGGCTCGCGCCATGACCATGCTCAGTGGCAGCGAACGCACCACAACGGCTTGCGGTGTGCTATTCTAAAGCTCCCTAAAATTGTTTAAAAATGCTAAAAGCACTTTGGCGTTCCTGTTCAAAGAAACTAGTGATATTCCTGTCGATCTAGGTACCTTGGCTATACTTTGGCATGAAGTTTTCAGTTGGCCTTAAGCGAAACTTCTTCTCGTGCTTTCCCAGCAGCTGGCTGCATCGTCTCATTCGTTCAACGTGTCCCAGGAAGACATACGGGAGTTCCTTTGACAGAAATTGATTTTGCTAGTTGTTTTGATGACGCGAAATTTTGAGAAATACAAGTATGTTCACACACCCCCCCTCCCGTTGAATCTCGCACCTTTTACTGTAGTTGGGAAATCCTACCTTCGGGTGTTTGGCCACTCCAAGCCGGTAGGAGACTGTGCAATACCAATGTTTACTGACCCCCCCCCCCCCCCCTGCCCCTTTTTACTTTGACAATGTTTTTGTTTTGGTGTAAAAAAGATAGGGGAGCAAATAAATCAGCGCCACACCCGCTGCCCCGCCACGGTGGTGTAGTGGCTAAGGTACTCGGCTGCTGACCCGCAGGTCACGGGATCGAATCCCGGCAGCGGCGGCTGCATTTCTGATGGAGGCGGAAATGTTGTAGGCCCGTGTGCTCAGATTTGGGAACCCCAGGTGGTCGAAATTTCTGGAGCCCTCCACTACGGCATCTCTCATAATCATATGGTGGTTTTGGGACGTTAAACCCCACATATCAATCAGCCACACCCCCCGCCCTCCTTTTTGTTGCGGTGATTTCCCAGGTGTGAGTTGATATGGTTTTCCAAAACTGCATGATGGAATAGCTTTACTGCGTCAAACCACGAGCTACGAAGTGAGACACTCTTAATGTTTTTCAGCGCTGGCTTCTTTCCTGCTGTGCAAGCGGTGAAGATATTGAAGCTAAGGGAGCTAGGTGCAGACTAGACATGTTTGTTATAATTACAATATGCATGTACTATAAAAGTGCAATAAAAATGAGTGAATTTTAAATATGTTTAGAATAAGCGAATCCCAAGGTTGGGTCCCGCTTTTAGTTTTTAAAAAACCTGTGTGACAGGTCCTGGAAAGTGCTTGAATATCCTTGAATATCTCGAACCCTGATATTGGTTCATAGCTCTGAAGTTCACAGGAACGATGCGCTGGTCTCTGCACTTGGTCAAAAGCAAGTGCAGAGACCAAGCTGTGACAGCAGGCCTAGAACGTCGTCGCTTAGACACACTGGCTTACTCAGCAATCATTGTAATGGCATCTTGAGCTGTCTGCTTGGCAAAGGCAAACACCTAATCACATCACGCCATCGGTCTCTGTTGCAGAGTTGGCTCATCAAGACACTTGCCTTAGTCGTGCACAGTCAGGAGTAGTGAAAACACCTAGAAACCTTGCTGTTCTGCCACTGTTTTAGAACAGCAAGTTTAGTAATCATAGCACTGTGGTAAGAACAGTTATAGTCTCTGTTGAGTGGAGCTGGTAATCTGGTGTAGTCAATCCTCTCTCTGGCAAACTGCATGAAACCGTGAAGACATGTTACATTAATTAAATAAAAATTAACGCCAACTTATTTTTCTGTTTACTATGTTGCATGCAGAGTCAAGACGGATTGAAAAGAGTGGTGGCTACGTGTTCCAGAACCAGACAGTGCCCACATCATTCAACTTTGGTGGTGCTCCTCTCTGCTAGCTGCCACAGCTTAATGAAGGCATTCCCTCTTTTTTTCCCAATTCGCTCTGTGGCTTGCCTTTTGTTTATCGTTCCTTTTTTAGCCTCTGGTGTTTTTCTTTACTTTGCTGCCTTTTCTCTCGAGACGAGGCTTCTTCTTTCTGCTGTGTGGGACACCGCCAAGAGACACTTTCCTGCCGGTGCGACTGTACCCAGGGAGGCATTGCACTTGTGGTACTGGACTGTAGATGCACAGCTGCCGGTGCCACCCATCCGCTGGGAGTATGTTCCTAAATCTACGTCTGCTGCATTGCTGCCGATGACACCAGCGGCAGTCTTCGCCCTGTCTGCCTTGATCGAACTCGTGGATTGCTGCTTATGGTTATCATCGGTGCTCAAAGGAGTTGGGAGAAACGACTGCCACTTAAAACACCAAAGCGACCTTGTGTGTTGCGGCGATTTCCCAGGTGTGAGTTGATATGTGTGTGGCCACGCACTCGCCCATTGCCGAGTCTCTCCGGTTCTCAGATCAGTGGGAGAATGCTGGTTCGTTCACGGTACGGGAAAAACTGACAAGCTCAGTTTGGCTATCAACTTCTCTCGTCGTGCCGCTTTCCTCATCATCCAGACAGCATGTGATGTGGTGACGAGTGTGTGCTGTTTGTGTGCCGGACACATTTCAGTGAAGCGAAAACTGTGGCAGTAGTATCCCGGCAGAAGATTTGTGAGAAGTACAGTTGTTTGTGCAACTCTCTTCCACCTTTGTAGACATGTGCTTTTCTGGGGGAAAAAAAATTTGGGGGCCTTTTGTCACATTCAAGTGTGTAAAGCATGCATATATTTTGACAGCGATGGGGCTTTGTTGTACAGCTGCTTGATTATGCCCCCCTCGCTTTGTTTCTTGTACCTTTGACCTTCGATCATCTGGGCTGCGGCTGTGTGTGCTTGGGCTTCGACCTTTGTGGCTGCAGAACAAGGCTTAGTGGCCAGTATGCCCAATTGTAACTCTGTGGGAAAGAGAGTGGGTGGTTGTGGCCTGCATGATAAGAGCCACTAGTGTACAAATTGAAGCAAGTGGTGCGTTGTGAAAAAGAGGCTACTATTTTTTCCTTTGTCACTCTTAGTGCACGCACTGCATGGCACCTAGTGTGGTGATGAAATGGACATGGAACACTGAGTGGCAGGGAGACAGAGATGAATTTAAAATGACGGTTGTTGCCTTAAAGGTGTGCAAAAGAGGCTTGCGTGGCAGTCTCGTGTTTTGAATTTTGCATTTGGAACTGTGAGAGTACTGGCAAAAATAAAATTTATCAACACAAGTAGAGTGTGCCGACTCAAAATTTCTATTAGCTTTTCTCCACTGTTACAATGTTTCTTGCAGTTGCCACCTGCAGGAAAACTGTGCGAGGTGTGCTGTCAGTAGCTTCACCGAAACCAGCTCCTATTTATAGATATATATAAACTGGTATAGAAAAGCTTACAAATACATTATTTTGCCTGTGGCGAGAAAATAGATGGCGGGACAAAGCAAATTCCAAATGCTCTGTTTTCATGCTGGTGAGCAGTAAATTAGTGTGATGAGTAAACTAGTGTTCTGTATATGGTAGTGACCAAATTCGCAACGATGAACAGAGTGAGGAGGCAAACATTGTGCTGTCTTGTAACTGGTCAGACCAGAAAACCTGAAAGGGATTGTGCAGACCTATGCGTGACTCCGACCGAGCGCTCGTTTTACAGGAGGAAGGACACGTTTTACAGGAGGAAGGACAATGCATAAGTTTCGTCTCAGGTAGCCAAAAACTTTATTTGCTTCGTTATCGATGTTTATTATGTGGGGTGTCCAATTAAGATCAGGAGTTATCTTTATACCTAAATACCTAGAGGAGTTCATGGGGGAAAACTTAGAGCCGAAAATAAAGTATGTTGGAGCCAGGTAATGTTTACTACGGTGAAAAGAAACGACAGACGTTTTGTTAATGTTTAGAGTCATTAGCCAAGTTCTGCACCACGTTTCAATTTTTAACAGATCAATTTGGAGAATGCAGGAGTCATTAGGGTCATTAATGGGGCAATAGATGACACAGTCATTGCGAATAAACGGATACTTGATGATATATTACTAGTGAGGTTGTTTATACAAATTAAGAACAAGAGGGGACCGAGGACTGTACCCTGGGGTACACCTGAGACTACTTGAGGACGGGATGACGATACCTGGTTGGCACAAACAGACTGTTCACGGTTTGAAAGAAAATTTTGGATTCCAGTTTAAAACGGCAGGGTCAAGGTTTAAGCGCGAAAGTTTTAGAAAGAGGCGTTTATGGGGTACCTTATAAAAGGCTTTTTCGAAATCTAGAAAGAGAGCGTCAACAGAAGTATTATGATCAAGACATGTGCTGATGTCGTTAATTAAAAGCGCTAGTTGTGTGTCACATGAGAGGCCTTTCTGAAAACCGTGCTGACTTGGATGGAAAAAATTTACAGACGAAAGAAATTTCACAGTTTGAGAGTAGATAATATGTTCCATAAGCTTACAGCATATGCATGTTAGTGATATTGGACGGTAGCTGGAAGGAACGGATGACGGACCTTTCTTAGGAATGGGAATGATCTTGCGGACCTTCCAATCTTGTAGCACCACTCCAGATGACAGTTATTGCTGAAAAATATGAGACAGCATAACAGCAGAAAAATTTTAAGTGTTTATCAGAACTTTAGAATTTATGCAGTTAATTCCAGCTAATGACGTCGCTTTTAATGACTCGATCACTTTAATGATACCGTGAGGTTCGAAGATGACGGTAGGCATAACAGGGAAATCATGAGTGGAAGCACAAGGAAGTATATCTTCGGGTTCATCAGTAAAGACAGAACAAAATGTAGAATTTAGTGTTTCTGCTACATAGAACTCCGGGATTGTAACATTTTGTGGATCGCATAACAAGATAGGTTTCACATGAGTTGGGTTAATGGCCTTCCAGAACTGTTTGTGGTTAGTGCGTATCATATCTGGGAGGGTAGACGAGAAGAACGTTCGCTTAGCATTTGAAGTCATGGATGGATTCGTAAAGCTTTTCAGTATTACGATATTTTTCCCATGCTTACTTAGAATTTGATGTCTTAGCCGAGCGGAAATGTCTCTTCTTTTTGTTGTTAAGGCGTTTTATTGCGTTGTTGTACCACGGAGAAGTAGGACGCTCTGTAATGGTGATGTTAGGAATATAGGTGTTTATTAATTGTTGCATTTTCTCTTTGAAAAGCTCCCAGTTTTCGTCAAAAGATCGTTTCCAAAAATGTGTGAGAAACCAATTGTAAAAAGAGGAAAGTTCGTTATTCATACTTTCATAATCGGCTTTGTCGTATAGTGTTATTCTTTTCTTATTTTTGGTGGGTTCAGCAAGTTGTATTGGAAACTGGCATGAATGACTGAGTGATCGCTTAGGCTGGTTAGATTGAAAACCCACGAAATTTCATCATGTTCAGACGTTAGGAGTAAATCTAGCAGGCTTGTTGAATTATGGGTTGTTCGCGTAGGGAATGTTATCACTTCGGATAAATTGAACGTTAGGCAAATATCTACAAAGTCACTTCCAATATTACTTTTTGAAGTCGTTAAGCCCCACCACGGTGGTCTAGTGGCTAAGGTACTCGGCTGCTGACCCGCAGGTCGCAGGTTCAAATCCCGGCTGCGGCGGCTGCATTTCCGATGGAGGCGGAAATGTCGTAGGCCCGTGTGCTCGGATTTGGGTGCACGTTAAAGAACCCCAGGTGGTCAAAATTTCCGGAGCCCTCCACTATGGCGTCTCTCATAATCATATTGTGGTTTTGGGACGTTAAACCCCACAAATCAATCAATCAATCATTTTGAAGTCGTTAATGCTAAGTTGGGCCAAGTTATTGAGGGGAAATCGAAGTCTTCAAGTAGCAGGAGAGGGGAACCGTCCGATTCTGAAGTTGCCAGTTAGAGAGTATCATAAAAGTTTCCAATAAATGAGCGATCGGAGTCAGAGGGGCGGTAGCAAACGCCAGTTGCAATGGGTGGAGCGGCAGCTTTGCAGCGGATGAAGATAATTTCGAGGCAAGAAGGAATGTCTACTGCGCAGCATTGCAAACTATGGTGAGCAGTGATTAAGACCCCCCGTCTGTTTTGGCGATCGCAGCGGAAAATATCAAAATCAGCATGTATAGGAAGCAACTCTGAGTCGAAGACAAATGAATTCAGCCATGTTTTGGTTAGTACTAATTTACACTCGGTAGCCTGGATGAGACTGTGCAGGGAAATCACAATTAGGCAATAGGCTCCTAATGTTAGTATAAATAACTGAAAGAAAGTTTTCCGATTGAACATGGGCTTTAGTGGGTAGCCATTATTCACATGGGAGTACAGTTTGTGTAGTTCGGTCAAAAATGTAAGTCACCTCGTCAATGGTTAATTTGCGGTATGCGAGCTTATAAGGTCGGGGCTGGGCTTTGCCGAATTCGATAAGTCGTTTGTGTATCAGACGTGTGTTGGGGGAGTAATCTTGGGAAATGCTGTGCGTAGTATTTTTTAGTTTTTTTCTGTTTAATAGAGTACAGTCTTTATTTTTGAAATGCGTGAATCTTACAATTATGGGCCTATCTTTGCTAGGATCGAATGTTCCCAGTCAATGCGCGTTTAATATCGTGTGGGTTAAGCGTCAGGTTGAGGGCAGCCTTACAATGATCTACGATTAAAGCCTCGGATTGGGCCCACGTTTCGCGTCCGGAATCTTTGTGTTCATAAAAGACAAGGTTATTTCGCTGGGCTTTATCATATAAGGTTATTTTGCCGGGCTCTATAATGGTGCACTGGGGACTCCGGATTATTTCTGTTAAGATTTTCAAAATAATTGTTGCGGAAAAACGCTCAATTTCTAACAATGCCACTTGCCCTTCTCGCGGGCGTGCGCCCCAAGATCTAGGGAGTGACATACAGCGAGGAATGGTCGTCTTTTTACGTCGCTCTTTTACGTGGGCTGACGTAGCATACCATAACCTCTGCATCAGAACTTCATTAAATGCTAGCTATATGTAGAAAAACAGACGAAAAATGTCCAGCTTCCTGGTTATATCCTGCATTTTAAATGGTACCTCATTAAGAGCATTGCACGTGACATTACTCTACTTGGCATGTACAATTTGCGAGTTCTGTTGTGTAGCATGAATGAGGAGTACTTCAATTTGGGCTAGCTGCTTCATATAATTTTGAAAGGGAAGGGCAAAGACAAATGGAAAAGAAAGACAGCGCTCTTTGTCTCCATGTCTTTTTTTTTTTCCCTGTGTCTCTGCACTGCCCTTTGAAAATCACTATAATGAATGAAAGCTGAGAAAAATAATCAAAAATTCAAACGAAATTTCAGCTTGTTATTATTCTTTTTGTTTCGAACAGCCTCGAGATGCTATTCAATAATCGCGGCCCTCGTTTCGAGTCCGCTTCGGTGAACCAGTTGCTATTGGGTGCTCCGCTGCTGATCCTAATGCCGCGCGTTTGATTGTGGCCTCGTCGGTCACATCTAAATTGAGGTGAAAAAGTTGATGCCTGTGTACTGCGCATGTCAGTGCATGTTAAAGAACACTAGATGGTCAAAATTTGCGGATACCTCTACTATGGCATTCCTCATATTCATATCGTGTTTTTTTTATGCAAAACCACACATACTACCACTGCTACTACTACTATTACTACTACTACTACTATTCCATTTCGCTTGCGTTCGTCGTTTCTGCATCGTGCCTTTGACAATCCTGACAACACTTAGCTTGTGTTTCGTGCATCGCCTCTGAACGCATTTACAGCGGAGTGACGTGGTGTATCGCAGTCACAATACATGATCCTTGCCAGCCTCTAGCTCCTAAAATACACGCACTGACTGATCCATCCCACAGAAACGGGTAATACACAATAGAGAACGCTTAAACGACACAACATCGATGGCATACGTGCACAAGTAGGCTGGGGCACGGCATGCGCACTTGACCTTGCTTACGCATATTGTTCTTGTTGTGTATGTGTCATGTGATTCTCCAGCCCTGATACTGAAGAGAACAGAGAAGTATAGAGGCTCGTGATGGCTACACGGGACGAGAGGCAAGGGATTCAAGTTTGCTTCTTCAGCATCATGCTTTAGTGGCCCGTTGCAAACCAATTTGACAAATCACCGTGGTAGAACGCTTTTCATTAGGCACGCAAAAACATCTAGTATGTAACTACAACTTATTATGTCACATAGAGAGGGACAGCTGTAAGTAGAAGGCAGGTCACCGCGTCCTCAGCCATAGACGTCGGTTTTATTTTCTC